AGGAAGATGGCTGTGCAGGCTTTTGCTTTTTAAATGTTCACAAGAGTTTAAGTATTTCCTCATCATACTAACCCTCACTTGGTACACCTAATTATGTCCCTGTACTAAGTGACATAATTAGTATAGTTTCAATGTGCATATAATGTTGAACAGTGCAGTAGCTTGCCCTGTAGTGAGAGTTTGAATGCTTCTCAACATGTTGGTACTTTTGCTCATTAATATAGTGAGAAAGATGTTCCTGGCAATGAGTTGAGATGAAATAAATTACCACATTCTCTTTTTTAATCACCTTTCTAACAGCCTTAACACACTTAGGGTACCTAAGTGTGTTTCTGACCTGAAGAAGGTGATTTAAGTCCCTGATGTAGAACCCAAAACAGCTCCTTCCTCTCATTCTTTCGTCATGGCTTTGAAACATCAAACAGAAACAGTAGAGTGTACAGCAAGGTTGTTCAAATGTTTTACAGTTTTTAACATTTTTTAATCACCAAGGAAAATTTCACTCTGTTATTTGACATGCTTCATACATGCACATACACACATTTGAAAATAACAACTGCTAGTTTAATAACTGAAATAAAATAATAACCCTTTAAAAAACTAAATCATAATTCAACTGTCCTTTATTAATTGATGACCTCCTTAAATCAGTAAGGCCTCTATTGAACAATTATCTCAATTTAGTTTATAATGAAAGCACTTGTAATATTCCACAGCAGGAAAATGTTCAGTGTTAACAGCAGCAAAAAACCCCAAAGCAAAGCCTGCAATAGTTCACCACCAGGTCTTTAGTTTTTCCAGCGTGGATTTTGAGAAGTTCCACTGGAACTAGACTGGTTCAGCTCTGACAAACTCTCATCACCATCAGTGATGAAGCCGACAATCGCAGAGTGATCAGAATATGGGGGAATAAAGAGAAAAATGTGCAAACAACACGTTACTTTGTCTTTCTGAGGTTGATTTGTTGTTCGTTTGGTGCCTGTTTCCACGTAATGTTGATAAAGTGATGGAAGTGGTGCTGCTGGCAGGTACTGGTCAGACTGGCATACAGAGCTGGCATTGCATTCTCTTAAATTAAAATGTGGTCCCTTCTGCTCTTATTATCTCAGTATAGTACAGGGTGTTAACAGCATTTGGTTGGTAACTGTTGTCATAAGAAATCATGTTATTTTATTGTGGGGAGATCTTTCAGAGCTCCTGCTACAAAGTGGGAACAACAACAAGAAAGAAGAGGTATGTTGTACTCGATAACTCATCACTTCAGGTATTTGGGAAGGACTGGTGAACAGATGGACTGAAGGCTTGACTGTTATTTCACACTACATGTACAGACAAACTGAACGTCCTTTCATTCATCTTCTGCTTGTCTGAACATCCTGCTTGTGTGTGGTTTGCCAAGCTTTTTCCAATTTGCAGATACCTCAAATTCATTTTAACACCTCACCCTCTTTCTCCCACACATATTTTAGAAAACGTCAGTCAGATCTGCCTGGTTTATGATTGGTTTATCAGTTTTGCTTTAGAAATGTAAACCATATGTAAACTGTAGTTTATGTTGTGAAATGTTGTGCAACACCTTGACTCAGTCTGATTTTGAAAGCAATTGTGATTTAACCAATTGTAATTGTGTTTTCTGTCAAGAAAGATAAGTCTTGGGAGACTTAATGGTCCCAATCTAAAACTGGAGGCGCAGTGTATTGGAGCGTGTCCTGCTACATGTTGATAGTTAAGCTGTGCAAAAGGTTAGATAAGGTGATTGATTATACATATTTATACATGAATCAAACCAATCTCAGTCTCAGCTGTGCCAGGTGTTCCTGCAGACATGTTGCTATGAACACAGCGGAGTTCAGCCGTTTTTTATAAATCGACCCGACTCTGAACAGCTCATGTAAATAACAAAGAGTAAGGTCCAGAGTAAGCTCTTGGCTAGGCTAGTGTTTTGAGATAACATTTGATATGAAAAGGTGCTATGCAAAATAGAGATTAATTATTTGATTGATTTAAGTTCTCTAATTTAATTTTGCCCCTGAACACGCAGGCACACATTGTATTAAGTATTTTAATTAATATTTACCTATTTTGCTGCTGAAATCCACAGCTTTACTCTCTAAGATGTGCGTAATGGACACTGGAAAGTCTGTTTTCATTTCTGATTTCATGATCATCTGTTGAACTGTTAGATTTGTTTGAGGATTAAACTTAATTGCTTTAGATGTGTGTGTGTGTGTGTGTGTGTGTGTGTGTGTGTGTGTGTGTGTGTGTGTGTGTGTGTGTGTGTGTGTGTGTGTGTGTGATGGTGTGTGTGTGTGTGTGTGCGTGCGTGTGTGTGTGTGTGTGATGGTGTGTGTGTGTGTGTGTGTGTGTGCGTGTGTGCGTGTGTGTGTGTGTGTGTGTGCGTGTGTGCGTGTGTGTATGATTTGATGAACATGCATCTAGTTTTGCATGGCTTGTTGTGTCGGTCTCGAGCTGGAAATTTTTAGACCTTACGGGGCTCGAGCAGGAATCTCTCTTTGGTAAACAGGCAGAATAGTTAGGCGACGTGGCAATCAAAAGCTTGCCTGCTCTCGGCAACAAAAAGATCAATTTAAATTTGTATTAACAAATGCTCTGATGTTGAAGTGGGGAAGCGGAGAGAAGAAGCAGAGTGGAAATGTGTTGTGACCTTGCCCTCTGTGTTGTGCTTGTATTGTGACATGCTGACCTTACAAACATTCACCTCGTCAACAGCAACTCCTGAGAAAACTCCTACAATAGAGCTAAATTAATTCCCTCACTTTTCTGCTGTTTGGTTCTGGGCTGCCAGTACAGAGGGTAAACAACTGTGTGCGTGCTGTGTCTCATCTGCAGTTGGTTTGATAAGTATACTCTTGTTTTGTTTTTGTTTGTGTGTGTGTGTGTGTGTGTGTGTGTGTGTGTGTGTGTGTGTGTGTGTGTGTGTTTGTTTTTCATTTTTAAGATAAGACCAAGTCTAGCTTTGTTGACTCAAGTATGAACAGTGAATCTACTCAAACTGGGTCTGTGGCACCTCAAGCCCCCCAAAGGAATATATTCAGCTATTTTAAATATATCGCTAAAATAGCAGGAAAGTTATTCTAACAAATATATGTGATGGTCGTGACACTGCTATTCTTTAGCCTAAACCATCACAAGCCAGGAGCCCTTGAGAGAGAGAGAGTCAGCATCTGGTGATGTTGAGATGACTCTATAGTGTGTATATGTATAAATATTGTGGGTTTTTGACAAGACTAAATCCCTCTAAAGTGTGGGAACTGGATATTAAGATGTGCTGCTTGTTCTGCTGTGAGTGCAAAAGTCCTAACTGCACGCTGATTTGATGGTGCTTCATGGAGGTTCTTCCCTTTTTTCTCTGCACAAAAACGTTTTTCTTTAACTCAGCAACTCACCCAAGTGTGATTCAAGGATTAAGGCTGGCATTGAATTATGTTATCATACTAAGAAACCCCATGAAAAGACCTTAAACCAGGGCTGTAAATGATTAATTAAAACATTGGTAACCTTATCAATTTTTTTTTTTACATTTTATTTATAGTGTTTTGTTTTACATTTATAAACACAAGCTGACAATACATAAAGAAGCCAAGCAAAAAAAAGACCATTACATTTACATGTAAACACCAACTTTTACACACTCACGCACAGGGCATTCTTTTTTTTTTTGTCTTTTATACGTCTTCACTACTTATATAAAAACGTTCCATTATTTTGCATTTCAAAACGTTTTTTTCAATGCTTTTATTTTACATTGTTGTACTTCCTGTTTGAAGAAGATATGAACTTCCCTCAGAAAGAAAAAAGTTACAACATTAACTTAACCACAGAAACAGGACCTTGCTGCAGATCGATGAGTTTATGAAATTAGCGTAAAAGAGTGAAATGTTTGATGTCACAAGGTGGATATAATGTTTGACTCGACCACTGAACTGTCTGTGAGTTGTTTGGAGCCAATGCAAGGCGCCACAGTGTCATTTATTTCCATAACGGAATGGATTAACTACGGTGCACCAAAAGGGACAAAATGGTATGGGATTAATGCAATCAAAAATAAATACTGCATTACTTTGATTGCATCAAGATTAACACGTTAACAGTTGATGACCACAAACCACCAAAGCATAAACACCTGTTTAATCACATATACATTCTCTCTTCTTTTTAATGGCTGAATGATGTTCCAGACACAACTGGAACCTGCTAAGGTGACAGAACTGGAGTTGAAAGTGAATTGTTTTTGGAGTATTTTTAGAGGCAGAGCAATACATGTTTGGTGCTCTTTGGAGTATTTAGGGCAGAGACAGACACAAAGACACACACTCAGAAAAGATTCAGATGCAGACTTCAAGGGGCAGAGTACAAAGAGAAGGTTTAATCACAGTCTGGTTTGGATACATGGTTAATCCAAAAAGCACGAGCAAACCAAAAAAGAGGTTACACAGAGGAATACACAATTAACATGAGGGAGGACACATTAGAAATAAGCACACAGTCAATCAGAGGATAATGAGACGCAGGTGAGTGTAATGAGGGCGGGGCGGACACATGTTGGGAAACATCAGGAGCAGGACCTGGAAGAGTGTCATAGACTCAGTGACGGCACCTACTGGCAGAGGTGGGCACAGTTATTCAAAAGCGAAACTCTATTTACCAAAGACGTTAACTTCGATATCAGTTGAAGTTAAAGTTCAGTTAAAGTTAACATTTACCTATTTTATTAATAAACAAATTACTTATACTCTTTATGCACATATGTGTGTATGTGCGTGTATGTGTGTGTGTGTGTGTGTGTGTGTGTGTGTGTGTGTGTGTGTCTCTGCAAGTTGTATCTTTTATTGTCCTAAATTCTGAGGGCCACACAAATAAATAAAAAAGTCTCACAGGTATACATGAAGATGTACTTTAAATAGAAACGTCATTTCTATAGTGAAATCTTTGATTTAGATTTTTCTCTTCCCTCTGTCCTGTTCTTCTTCTCCGTCTAGCCTCTGCCCCTAAGCTCCGGCTGATGCGAGGCCAGTCTCTGATGGAAGGGGACAAGCTGTACTTGAAGTGCGAGTCATCTGGGAACCCCAGCCCTTCTTTTCGCTGGTACAAAGATGGACACGAGCTACAAAAAGGCAGAGATCTTAAAATTAAGACCAATAAGTGAGTATGGATTTGTTAGTTTAGTCCAGGTGTGGGACAAGAGCAGAGAAACACTGAAAGTTGTATCAGCAATGTGTAATGTTTTGTGCATGTTTAGAGTGAAACAGTCCCGGTATGAATTACAATTGTAAAAAATGATTGTATACATGTTTACGTTTAGAATCCGTGCATATGATTAATCAAAACAGATATCCACCAATAATGAAAACAAACAAACGACTAATACAGTCAAGGCACAAAACAACAACAACAAATGATAAACATTTTTAGCATGAATCTTGTCTCTGTGTGCAAACAATAACTGCTGTCATGGTTATAGCTCTGTCCAAGTTTTTCTTCATTTTACTGAACCTTTATGTTAAAAAATTTTTGAAATTCCTCCAAATCCAGACGGATAACTTCATAACTCAAACAATTGTTACACATACTACAGTGACTGATGTACGGTGGCCGGTAGGTGCAAAGGATTGGCACGGCTGAAACGACATTTAGAAAAACCCACAGCATATTCAGAAAAGCTGCACAATTAAAAGTCGGGTACAAGACAGCCTGAGCGGGTGATCCGTTGCTGCAGCCCCGGGATATCTGGGCCTAATGAGCTCCGGCTCCAACACATCCATTTGCCCCCCACAGTCACAACCTTACCCATCATGCTTTTGCCATCCCCGCTGTCAGAGTCCAGGTTGAACTTGCTTTAAATATCAGGGCTACAGTTTAACTTTCCTCCCTGTCATCAAACAATTACACCTTCCCCACCGAGAACCTCGTGCCCCGGGCCTGACAAGTTCAATCTCCTGATGGTCAGAAGTCCTGTGCCCATCCCGGGCAGCAGTACCAGCGCACAGGCAGCTATCTTATCAGCTATTTGTCAACCAGACATCATCTGTCAAAGCACTTTAAATCTCTTTGTTGCTGTAATATTGACGTTATTCTGTGGTTCAACGATGCAACTTCCCCAATCTAAACATAACCTTCCTTGACTGGACTCGCTCACTCTCTCACATAAACTGTTCGACACAGCGCCCCCTACAGCCCTGGAGTACTTGTACTGTTGCAGCAGTTTTTGTTTTTGAAATGTTTCCTTTATGTATTTGCAGCTACTTTGATGTGAATTTAGTTGCTTTTTTCAGCACGTTTGTTTCATCTGCAGCACGTTTCAGCCGCTGCACTTGTTTTAGAAGTTTGCATTTGCTTTTGAATGTGCAGCATACCTTTTCTTAAAGGTACGTCATTTGAGCCGTTGCCAAGCCTTTGCACCTTCTGGCCACCGTACTCATTAAATTGGAAATGATTGACGATGGGAAACATCATCCGGAATCCAAAATCTGCCTTGAAGTAGAACATTAGTTGGTAGTTGTATACACTATGTTGTTGCACTTAAAAGTTAGATCAAACAATTGTTCTGTAATCATACACACCTTCCCATTCACTATTAGATGACAGAGTGAGGGTAGTGCTCTTTTCTGGATGAACTAGTTTTTTTGTCTTGCCAGGAAATCACCAGAGTCAGTCATAGACAGGTCTGCTCTATTTTTGAAGATTGTCAGCTGACATTGTCTTATTGACCTCCTCTGTTCCTCTCTTGTCTCTGCCTCTCTTTCTCCTTTCCCTAAGAAAAAACTCAAAGGTGCAGATCGGTCGCGTCCGTCAAGAAGACTCTGGCAACTACACCTGCGTGGCTGAAAACTCATTAGGACAAGAAAACACCACTAGTATAATCAGTGTACAGATCTGTAAGCAACGACACAGTCTTTGTCTCTCTATTTGTCACCGTCTATCATGATGTAGCATACCAATACTAATGTCCTTTAAATATGCTTCGTTCTTCAGGCCTTCATTTCTAATTGTATTTTTCATGGAGAGTTTCTTCCCTTTGTCCCTAGAAAACCTTAAACTTCTGCAGGTATCAACTGATGTATCTGCTAGTAAACTGGATCAACATTCTTCTCATTATTCTCCTGTTAGCTCTCTTTAGATAATCGTTTGTAAAAAAAACTTATTAATTCACCTTTACCTTTTACTGATTATAATAGAATAACGTCTTTAGTGTGAATCACAAGTTCCTTAAACCCTTTTTTTTTCGATTGCTTTGGTAAATTTTCAATTGTCAGTTGAAGATGTAAAAAAAAAACCATTTGACTTAACGTTTACCATTTCAAAACTTATTCAGGCAAATGAATCATCCATATTGTTTGCAAATTGAACAATACATGGTTTTACATGTCTTCACAGTCCAAATAGATCACGTCTCTTCTTCTTCTTCTTCTCTCATACTTTTAAAAAACAAACCAGAACTATCTCTATTGGATATAATAATGTGTCATAATCACATTCAAAATAGTCCATCTTCTTGTCAGAATCTGCTGAGAGGTATTGATTTGCATTGACATGGATTGCTGTAATTCCTGCCATGTAAATTGATAGATTACCTGTCAGGTGACCAGGCAGCACAGACAGGATGTTCAGTGATATACAGCGCTGTAACATCAGAACGTCTGCATAAAGGAAGCTTTGATTTAGTCCCTACAGCAGCTCTGTCCCTTGAAAGGCTCCATGTTTTTGCTCTGTGCAGTGCTCAACAACATTAACATTACATTTGTCACACCTTTAGCTTCTTGAAATGTATTTAAGTTTTCTAAAAAGTATGTGACAGTGTAGTTTGAAAATACGTTTTATAACTGCCATAAAATGTTATTTGAACAAAGAGCTTACAAAATATGCTGTACTACTGTCTTGTCTAACTGTCCCCCTTGTAGTGACCACAACCAGCCCGTCGTCAGGTGTGAGTCATGCAAGGCGCTGCAACGACTCAGAGAAGGCTTACTGTGTGAACGGAGGAGACTGTTACTTCATACATGGTATTAACCAGCTGTCCTGCAAGTAAGTCGGTCACTCATTCGCCCTCTTCCCCTCAGTCATCACTGTGTAGTGGCTCCCACTGTCTCTTACCCCTCCCCTCTCTCTCTTTCTGTTTGTTCTGAAGACACTGTGCATCACTTTATCTTCTGTTCCCTGGTTGTAGCCTCCTCACATACATGCACCTGCAGCCCGTAGAGCCACTCTCTGTCTCACAGGCTTGATGTTTACATCTTTTACTATTATCACAATAGGAAAACATTTTTTCATTAGTGGAAGAATGTGTGACTTTTTGATCTAGTTTGATCACCCCAGCTCTCCTCCAGCGACACACCACCAACCCCCTTCTCCTCACGTTCACACAAAGGAGTTATAAATTGGAACGCACCATAATTAAAGCGCAAGTGGCAGACAAAATGTTCCTTAGCTCGAGCTGCAATTCCCTGTGGCCTTCATTGTTGTGTTAGTAGGCTAATGTTAGCACGCTTTAGTTAGCCCGTAGCTTCACATTGCATGTAAATTGACAGGGAAGGACTGTGATCTAAAATGCTTGCTTGACATCCAAATAAGCAGTGAGAATCAACCCAATCGAAGTCATCCCAATAATGTCTGTATTAATTTTTTTTTTCTTTTACTTTTTTTCCTGCTTTAACTTTGTGACCAGAAACCTTGTAACTGCTCTACTGTTGCCAACGGACATTGAAGTTTTGAATTTCTGGTTTTCACATTTACATGAGCGTTCTACTGAGACACAGAGTAGCCTCGTAGTGTTTTTTTATCCCTTTGAACAAATGTATTGGTATTTAGTAGTAATCCGTACACAGGTCGGCCTGACAGACAAAGTTCTTGGGCTTCTCTAAGCGACCATCTCGTTTTTTGGTGTAGAGAAAAGACAGGACGTGCTGCTTGATAATAAATTAATTTGCTTGGGGCCCCAGGCCAGTAAGGGCCCCCCCCCCTCCCGAGGGCTGACAAACTTTAAACCAAAGCAGCGGCTCAAAAGGTGCACATTTCGCAATGACACTAGGAAACCTCCCTAAGAGGGCCCTAGCCAACTGCATTATTCCTATGAAAACCAAAGTTTGTCAAAGACAAAAGAAAAGTTAAGAGGAATTATCTGTCTGGGAGTGAAAAAATAATGAGGAAAAATTGGACATTGAGACATTGGATCAAATCGGAAGTTTCTGACAAAGAGAAGGATAAAGTGCTCCCTCCAGATCTTGATAATGGTATCTAATATTTATAACTTAAAGGTAAATAACGCTGCAAGGGCCAAAAAGTTATAGGTCAAGGTGCGTACATACTGAGTTTTAAAAGAAGTTGTGGACTGACTAAAACTGTCCTACAAAATGACTGTTTGGTCAAAGTTGGGGACAGTACAGAAAATGCACCTTGGCTAAAACGGAATATGAATAATAATGTGCGGATTACATCATACCTTAACACCCCCCTGGCTAGCTACTGGCAGATAAAATCTTGATGCGTATTCCTTCCAACCTATGAGTAGAGCTGCAGATTGTTCAAAAATGTTGTTAATTTAAACCTTGTTGATACCACCCAGTCTTTTAAACGTTAGCCCATGTTTTCCCAGCTACATTTCCAATGCCATGTGTTAAGGTTAGCATCAATGTCTGATCATAATGTTCATGAATGTCTTTGCTTTGTCTCTGAAGTTTTAAGAGCCTTGTATAACTCAGAACAAATTGAATTACAAGCTCTCTTTGTTTCCCATCCGGATGGTTGGGAAACAAAGTCGGCTGTTTTTCTCTCTTCTGTTTGGTCTTGTGGCTGAAATAACAGAACAGATTGTAAAGAAAGGGAAGCAAAAATTGGCAGATAAAAAAAAAGGTTGTCAAGAAGATGAGAAAAGAGAAGAAGGGGGCGAAAGAAGTAATGGTATACAGTGAAATCTCTGCCGACATAGGGTTTCTTCTGCTCCAAGTGTTTCCAACCTCTCCCTAGTTGCTCTATTTTTAACTCTATGGGAAATTGCTGAGTTGGCTCTTGGAGGATTTTTTCCTGTAATTGATTCAAAATGCAAGCTGTCTCTTTAGTGGTAAGACAGAGGATACCCAGGTAGTTATATGGGCAGCGTTTGTAAGGGTAAGACTAAGGTCCTGCAAGTTATACATGACTTGAGTTTAACAGATACAGTAGTGTCATAAGAGATAAAGCTTCTGATATCATTTAGTTACTGTAATGGGGTAATACCTACACCTAAAACTGTTTGTCAGTTGTTGTGAATTTTCAATAGTATTTTTTGCGCTGCAGCTGCACATGATTTTCTAAAACATGCCTATAGTTAATAAGACTGCCGATAAGGCTGAGCTGCTTTCAATGGCGTCAATGAAAAGGTGAAATAAGATCTGTCTTATTGGGTAAAAGACTTGACAGTGACACCCGCCATAGCTCTGAGTTTAAGACATTTAGGAACCTGAAGCACTCTCTTAAGAAAGTTTATTTTCAAGGACAACTGACAAAAGAGCCGTTGAGGATTAACAAAAACAATGGAAGTATCAACTCAAGTAAGAGCAACAGCTATTATTAGTGTTGTGAAGCAATGAGGAGAGTTGGTTTGTTAGCTTTAATGTTGAGAATTTGATGGAGGATGCCCTTATATAAAACTTTTTCCAGCCTCTTTCAGTTGACAGCTCAGAAATAAAACACAACATTCTGCAGCTGCATGTAAACTGAAGGTGCTGTGAACATCCAAAATCTGGAAACAATTTTATTTTTCTCACATTGTGGAGGCCTTATCTCTCTCTTCTCTAACTCTCTCTCTCTTTATAATATCTTCTACATCTCTCATTTTGCATCTGCCAGATGTTCATTCATTGTTTTAAGCTCAGCTAGCTGTGTTCATTTATGGCTTCTTCCCGGCGTTCACACCGAACACACAACACAGCATAAACATAGCATTACAGAGAGCAACAACTCTGTTATTTATGGAGAATTCAGCTCTTCCCAAGGTTATTATAACAAAGGGTCAATCCTTTCATAATTCTTGACCTCAAACTTTAATGTTTAGGTTCAGTTTCACAGCTCTCATCATCCTTATGTTGCTACCTGCTTATATCCAAACAGCAGAACGACACAGTAAGCAGCAACAAGCCAGATATTTGTTCAGGATTTGTTTGAGCTGAGTGGGGTAAAAATTCATTCGATTTTATAAAGTTTCTCTGTTTCTCTTTACTCCTGGTGATTGATGTCTGGTAGCTTATCATTTCAATGAGCTGATATTATGTGCATATTGATATTGTGCTTTTCCAGAGTCTCTAAAAGGTCTGTGTCTGTAAACTTACAGGCTATTCTAATGTGCACCCCCGTGACTGTATTATTACTTCTACTTTGTTATGGGTATCTCATCATTGTGGTCAGGGGTTAAAAAGTATGCATTGGGTTACGTGCCACAATCAATACATACACATACAGTGTGTGTGTTTGTTAATGTGTGTCTGTGTCCATCTGTGTTTGTGTGTGAGATGGGTTGAAGGCTGGAGAATACATCTGTTAACCCCCCTAACTCCTGCACCACCATCATATGACGCTCTTAAATGAGACGACTCCTACGAGCCTGTTCAGGCAGTCAACTGATAACACCTCCTTCCAATTAGCTTTCTATTTAAGATGGAAGATTTGAGGTCTCTCCCTTTGCTCTCTCATGGCCAGCTCTGACCTGCACCAGTACTGATCTCTCGCTCGGCCCCCACCACTAACACCAGCAATCCACCAGCTGGCTCCGACTGGGAGATTTAAGATATCACCCCTTCACTCTTAAAGTTTCTGCATGTAAAATGAAACTGTGAGGAGTGATTAGGTCGGAGCATAGACACATAAACACAAACTATGTTCCGCTGCTGCTACAAATATTTTAAACAGATAGAAATGTGAGTTGTCTGACTGAACTGTAGAAGTGATTTCACAGTATGCAGGTCATCTCTCTCTTTCTGTAGTTGGTTAATTGTGCTGTTTCTAATCCCTCATCTCTTTGCTCTCTTATGTCTCCCTCTCTTCCTCCTTTCCTCTCCTCCCCTCTCCTCCCCCCTGTTTCCTATCTGTCTTTTGTGTTCTTCCCCGCCTCTCTTCCCACTGTATGTTTAACCCAACCTCCCTTTCCCCCTCTTGTGTCTCGTTTTCCCTCCATCAGGTGTCCCAATGACTATTCGGGGGACCGCTGTCAAAACTCCGTAATGGCCGGTTTCTACAGTATGTCCATTTGTTCTCGTCTGTCTCCTCCTCACTGAGATGACGCATGCTACTTTTGGAGGGATTGCATTGAGGGAGTGTTCTTCGTGTGTGTTTAACACCTGCTAATATGTTTCATGCTAAATTAAGTTTGATGGGTGTATTTGAGTGTGAGTTTGCATGCCTCTGTGCCCCCCCCCCCCCCCCTTCTTCTCACTGTCTCCCCTGGTTCCTCTTTGGTGCGCATTTGGTCACATAATTTAGCTGCTAAAAAAGACACCACAATTCAAAACTTAATATTAAGCACCATCTTCCTCGATTATGAATCTACTCTTACATTTTTTAATTCCACTTACCGTACTGTAAACTGTACAGACAATCTGAGAGAAACAGAGGAGACAGAGCACAACCACGATGCAGAGGCTAAAGTTCTTAGCTTTTATTGTGCACATATCTTAGTTGATGGTCCATTGATGCGTCTATGATTTCTGACAGTAAAGTTTGAAGTCCTTACCATGACAAACATTTAAAGCTTATGAATAAGGAATGCCTTTTTTAGGTGCCAAGCATCTTACGCTCCAGCACAGGTGCGTTTACTATTTTCCTCCAAACCCAGTTGTCATTTTCTCACCAGTGTGTAAAAAGTAAATTACCGATGGTGGGCCGGTGGTGGTCGACTGGTTTGTTTGTGCGCCCCCCGTATAGAGCGTGCAGCCCAGGTTCCTTTCCAACCTGTGGCTCCTTCCCTGCATGTCATTCCCTACTCTCTCCTGCCCAATAACTTCCAACTCTATCCACTGTCCTGTCTCTCCGATAAAGGCACAAGAGCCCACAAAAGAATCTTTCCCTGGTTAGTGCCCATGTGTGTTGGTCTTAAAATGAAGTGTCATCAGGGACACAGAAGTCATCTCAGCTCAGACCACCTGAAACCTGGTCTAAAGTCTTTATCTGTTCCTGCTTTATAGAGGGCGCGGCAGGAAGATGGGCATACATCAATGAGTTGATAACGGACTTCCTTTGCCCAATAGACACAAGTGAAGCACAGCCGCTCACTCTGCTCAGATGAATATTTTTTTGCATTTGCTGATACATTCAAGTTGAGATTTTACCGGGACAGGAGAAATGGCGAGCTTTTTGTTTTCCTCGTCTCTTGTCATCGTTGGGCTACATTCCTTTTCCATGAGGCTGATCTGGTGACGTCGTCCTCTTGGATGCCTGTTACACCTTAATCCTGCTCAGGGCCAGAAACTCCAGCTGAACACAGACACCCAGTTCTGTTGAGCACAGCGAACATGAGTTTAAATAAGATCCAGTCCGATCCTGGCGGCGTGGCATAAGCTTTTAATAATTAATGAGGATACACTTTAGTTCCCTAATGCAGAAATGTTCACTGCTTCTCTATTAATGTTGGAAGGCACTGATCGTTTCTGATGTTCAAACCGCCATGAACATATTTGATACAGTGTCCTGTGTGTGTTCTGTGTGTTCAGGGGCACAATGAAAGGAGAGAAGTTACATGAGCTGGTCGGAGTCCGGTCTATCCAGGAATAGAGACTGAAATTCACCATATAGCTGTCACACCAGCTTGTCTGCGCCCCTGGCTCTTAAAGGGAATGACAGCTGACACTCTGATTGGTTTGATTCATGTTAAGCCCAATACACACCTTTGTATAATCAGGCGACTTAATCCAACCCCTCTGCACACTGTGCTTAATTTAATGCCCAGATTGTGCCTCCAAAATATAGTAAGACACGCCCCCAATCACTTTGTGCCTCGCATTTCAGACAACATGTTGCCTTTATGATATTTCTACTAATACAGACAATTTATTCATGTCAATGAAATTCAGCAGTGAGTGTTGTTTCACTCTGTGCATCCATGGACCATTTGATAAAATTGCATGGGGCCAAATGCTGCTTCAACCGTTAAGGGTTGATTTCCAATATAGTCAAAGTGGTGCCACATGTTTTGCACCTTCTCCTCCACATAGTGTAATCCATTTTTAGGAAATAAGTACATAACAGTCAGGAAACGCTTAGCTTGGCTTAGCTGCAGGACTGGAAACAGTGAAATCGTATACAACAAAATCAACCTATCAGCAACTAAAAACCTCTCTGATTATGACTTCATCTATTTTCTTAAATTGTCGACTCATTCTAAGTTGAGTGCTAAAAGGAGGTTCCAGGTGTCATATTTCTTCAGCCTGAGGTCACTTAGAAACCACAGGTGTTTTGTTATTTATGAAATTGTGTCACCCTACGTCCTGTCCTAATGCTTGCTAAGCTAATAGTCTCTTGGCTCTAGCTTTATGTTCACCGTACAGCAAGACAGTACTATCTATCTCCTCATCCAACACGAGGCAAAGACCAAATTATGCAGATTTCCCAACGTTTTGCACAAGGATGCAAATGGGGTATTTATTGTTTCTCTGTTATGATTGCTTGGGCAGTGACACTAAAACACCAATAGTACGTTTTTCAATAGTACATGTGAAAAATAAATGTTGCTGAGCACAGAAGCTTCCTGAGAGTTGATGGAGCAGGCTCCCTTTACTGGCCAAGCAATCATAGGGAAATAGAGGAGGTATGAAATATAACTCCTTAAGCCCCGTTTCCACCATGCAGTCTGGTTTGGTTCAGTACAGTTTGGTTCAGTTTGGTACGGTAAACCCTGAACTTGCCCTCGTTTCCACAGCCAACCGTACCCTTATGTGGTAAGCGGAGTGTAATCCAGATGGAGATAGCCGCGTCAGCTATGTAATAGTGTGACATCATAGCAGCCCACCACAGTGTAGCCCACTATTACGGGACATAGTAAACAACGGACCCTTTAGGGTCGGATTGATACCCTTGGCACACCAACAGAAGGGTACCAAGAAAGTAGGACGGTACATATGCCTTAATTGGTACCCTTCCCTACTTTTGACGGTGGAAACACCAATACATGGGTTAATGTACCGAACCGGACCGCTTGGTGGAAACAGGGCTTTATATTGTTGAAAACTTTGTTCAATGCCATGTGGTCTTGCTTTGCTATTTGTATTTTCTTGACCTTTACAAACTGCATAATGTCGAATGATTACCATGAATATATACTAATACTTTTTGTGTTTAGTTTAAAGGCTTCACGCTGCTAAACTAAGCAAAATGTACAAAAACTACACGCTTCAATATGTCCGTGTGATGTTGTGCTTTTATTTGGCATTGTGATGCTCCTTCAGTAAGTTGAGGGAACTCTATAGGGACGACAGGCTTAGGATTGACTTCTCTCTATTTACATAAAAATGCATGCAATGCAATAGAAATGCTGAATGCTCAGATGATGTCTTTGGAATCATATGAAAGGTTATAACAGTGATATGAAGCCGAAGGGGGGGGGAGTGCTTTACAAGGGGTATTCTATAATCAATACAAAGGCACACAACTCCCCTTAGTCAAATGAGTTAGAGCACCCGACACCATCTGCAGCCTCATTGTGTTTTTATGTTGGAGAGTAACCCACTGCTTTGTGTCTTTTGTTTTCTTATGCTTTTTCATTTGTCTTCTTTTTTTTCATTTTGTTTTATATTTCTGTCCCGTGTTGTTACTCCAGAAATGAGGTCTAGTAAATATAGCAGTAAGTGATGTGGCTTCTTGTCTTGCTGTCTTTGTCCGTCTGTCTCTGCATGCAATTTCCTGCCTGTTGGCTTCTCGTTCTTTCTACCTTTTTTTTCATTGTATCCCTTTGCTCTTGATTTTTGCACGTTTCCTTTTTTGTCCTTTCATTTCTGGGGGTTACAGAGCTGAGGCTGTCTGAGTTGTCTGTCTCTTACTGGACAATACACATTTCAATCGCCATGGCTTGAAGCACTAATTAACTCATTTCCTGGTTCTGTGTATACAGGACATGAAAATAAATATCTGCTACAAAGTGGACATTACTCCTGACCCTATCTGTCTCTTTCCTTTTACCATCTGCGCTGGCAGAGCTTCTCAGAATTGAATTTATGGGTATGGATCATTAATATTCATTTTGCTGTGCTTAAACGGTTTGCCAAGATACTCTCACAGTCACACATTAATGTACCATCTTCTTTCGAAAAACCAACAACTGGGTCTCCCTCAACCTGTCCCTCTTTTTCTCCTGCCCACAATCCTGCTTTTTAAGACATGTTACATCCCTTCTCTGCATGCAACCTTTTTACAATCTTATACTTTTTCACGGGAGACAGAGGAAAACACAAATTGACACACTAATAAATGAAAGTGCAGGGGTTAATTAAAACACAATACAATGGCCCTAACACCAAACAAAGATGTGTTTATTCAAACACAAAATCAAAGATCTCATCTCGGAGAATTTATTACATCATTTAAGAAAACAAGTATCTGCTTCTTCATCTGGGCTTTGGCCTTGTGCACACCGTCTCAAACAGCCTGTCAGACAAAAACATGGAAGCAGCAAACATTTTTGCAAATTGTTGCCAAAGGCCATTCAAAGACCTGAACACGTAATCAGTCCTTATTCTTCAGATGCTCACCTGTCCCCAATCAAGATGGCTGTGAGTCCAACTCTGCCAGGGATCCTGTCTTCCCATTCCCCTTAGCCTTTCTTTATCAGAACCCTGTGACACACTCACAAAGCCAAGTCAGGGCTCCTGTAGGCTTTTTAAAATCCCTACACAGACCCTTTATTTAGAACACCTTTGCAGTCCCCTTACCTTATGTAGCGTGTCTGAAGCTTTTAAGGGAGGGGAAAGACGAGATGACGATTTTGGTAAAAGTAACGATCGGTTGATTCGACTGATCTTCTCTCAAGATTACTTCAGAAATAAATCAATAAATATATTTCTGATGTGTTACATCTGATTTTTTAAACAACTTTACATAAAAAAAATCAGCTATAGATACTCTGACTGATAGCCTTCATCTGTTGATAGATGTCATTGTATTTATTTACCTGAGAAGAAATAATGGAACTAACAACTATTTAAGTAACCATGTAATAGTCATTAGAGGATTTATTAGTCCATGACAAACAATCTAGTTTTAGTTTATAAGGGGACAGAGTCAGGTCTTTGGTGTCAGGGTCTCTCTCCTGGACATGGCCCTACTGCCCTCTCACCCCTGAACCCTAGCCCGCCCCCCCTTACCCTAATCAATGTATGACCTCATGATTCTTTTTGCTCATCACTTTGCTTTTTCTCCTTTCGTTCCCTCCCTCCTTTCCTCATGTTGTGCCGTGTTTGTTGCTCCCTTGTCATGTTGTGGTGGCGCTTGCTGTTCTGACACAGAGTGTAATAGCACAACAGGCCCAGACCTGAACAAAGATCGTTCACGTTCACCATGACCTACTTTTAAATTGGCTTTCAATATTTCTGAAAATGACATTTTAGCATCGAGTCTACAAATCCATGATGCTTTTTTGACTGATTGCTTTTGTCACTTATGATATCGTTCTAATTTTAACAACTAATAAATAACATTTTAGTCATAATAGTGGACATTTAATGGAAAAAGATTTAAGCAATTTCTGAAATTCATGACTGACCAGTCAAACCCGGATCAGCCTGTGATTGGATTGGTAAGAACTGTTACTATGAGAACATACAGATATTATATGAATTTAAATTATGTTTCAGCTCCTTAACAAACTAAACCAGGTCACTACTAATCCGTTATTCTACATAATGATGACTTGCAATCGTTTATTCACACATGATCACCGTAACCATGTCAGAATGTATTTAACGTCATCATTATTATTTTATACAAATAAAATATCTTTGCTAATTGTATTTAATTGAAAATAGCAATTGCTATTTTATTTATAAATAAATAGGTGAGCTCAATGTGCTTTACATTGAGGTTAAAAACACTGCGTACAACAAACAAAATGTTTCCACAGTCATAGTTAAGATTCAGAAATTAAATCAATAAAGGCATACACACCGCAAAGAAAACATCAATAACCACACAAGTAATCATACACACACACACACACACACACACATACAAAGAGTAATATGCGTAGGCTTGGGAGAATATATTTTCCCTTTAAAAGTAGAGATAGTCAGGATGAACCTCAGGTAATGAAATTAGGATTAAGTTTTAGGTTACTGAAATGACCTTTATAAACTTATTTCACATTTTGTGTCATACTTCTTCAGGTTTAACATCTCGCCTTGCTGTAGACATGTAGAAGTGTAGTTGAGGAGTAGGAGCAAAATTACTATGTGTTTTTCCAGATGCAAAAAAAAGCAACCAAACCATTTCCTTCAGTAATGATTGTCTTGGGCAGAGGTGACACAGGGAAGAGATTTGGCTGCATGGTTTGACAATAAAAACAAAAAGACCTCCAGACTGTCACCTGAAACAGGACCAGGTCTGTCAAACCTGATAAAACAACTTAACCTGTTCATATATGGGGAGGGAAATGTCTTATCCTTTCTAATTAAGGTCAAAATTAAAATATACATTTGTGACAGTTAGTGGTATGATGAGCTTCACGGATTTACTCCCTGGCCATTGTGGTGTTAACAGTTAGAACAGAAAATGCTTTATTCAATGTTTCATTTGGATGACCTATTTGTTGTTTCCCATATTCATACAGGAATGCTTTCAGACTCCCTCCATCACCACCCGTAGCATCTCATCCCCATAACCATTGTGAATACATGTGCTTAGGAACAGAAGTCTTTGTCAGCATGTAGAGTAACAGCTCTGCTTTTTATCAACATTTTTATAAGACTGAACAACAACTCCTGTTTCACTGTAGTCCATTTAAAGCTAAGGCATGGTAGGGAAAGTGTTGCTTCATTGACAGCTACAAGGGGTTATTAGTAAGAAATACTGCATGTTTCTATAGTAACCATCAATGGATTAGTGCTCATGGGTGTGTGTGTGCGTGTGTGTGTTTGTGTGTGTGTGTGTGTGTGTGTGTGTGGATGTTTCCTTTCACAGAGGCTGAGGAGCTCTACCAAAAACGTGTGCTGACGATCACTGGCATCTGTGTGGCGTTACTGGTGGTCGGCATTGTGTGTGTGGTGGCCTACTGCAAAACTAAGTATGTGTCTTTGAGGGAGGGTTTATTGATTCACCGTTTTTTTTGATGCTCCTAACTTCAAATTAAGCTCATGCTCATGCTCAGTTACAGTAAACGTTTGACAAAAATGTTGTTGTTTTTTAACTATGAAATTAAAACTTAATTGTTGCTTTTTGGGGGGAAAATTGATTTGAATTAAAATGTATCCTTTCACACATTTATCATCTGGGGAATTTAGAAAACTGCCTAACAAGGAGCTTTGACTATTTGCTGGAAACCTTCAATGTGCAGCCGAGTAGAGGGTCATGTGACCAACTATTTCATCTGTTTGTCCTGTTTGCAGCTAGAATGTAAAGATTACACAGCTTTATAGGATGTAATGAAAAGAAAAAAAAGTGTTGTTTACAATAGTTAACCCTACTTAGAGCTTTGAGTTGCTGCATTAAAACAACATGTCAGAGAACATGGTGAAACAAACAGCCAGTGGGATCAGTGTTATGATAGGGTGCATTCATGCAGTAGGTAGGTAGGTAGTCATGGTGCTGGTTTGGCTATTTAATGAAATCTACAGATATTAAAGGGACTTTATAAAGGGACTTTAAGTAAACTGAGTAGCATCAGTGTCAGTCTGTAGTTTAACTCGCCAGATGTCTTATTGTCCCTCCACCACTGTGTCTCTAGGAAGAAGAGGAAGAAGATGCACAGTCACCCACACCAGAACCAGAATCAGTGTGTGGAGCAACCCAACCGCATGATGGCCAATGGACCTAACCACCCTGGACCTGGTCTTGAGGAGATTCCGATGGGCGACGTGAGTCCAAAGTGAAGAAACACACTATTAAAGATGATTTTGATACCACTTCCTGAAACCCTGCACTTCAATCTGAGCAGCTCTTAAAGTTCAAATGATTTCATAAAATCATTTAGATTTTGTTTTAGAAACTCTTGTAGGGCAAAGGCTGAAGAAGGGTTTATTGCTGTAATGTACCAGAGACATTTTAACTCTTTGTCCACAGTCTTTACTGTGTCACAACCTGGCTCAACATAGCAGTGACAAAAGAGGGAGACCACACATAGTCGGCTACATTATCCAAAGGAGTTTAATTGAATCAGTAAATTAAACAGTGTTAGATCTGTGAGGAGTATCAAACTCCAACGTAAGCACAAACAACCAAAGGTTAACCGCAGTATGCAGGAGAGAAAAGAGGCCGAGGAGATTGAGCAGGGTCTGCTTTGTAGTCTCCCCAACCAGCCAGCTCAGGTGTGCTGCATTAGAGTCCTTCCTGACTCCACCCACATCTACCTGCAAGGAGAACACAGCCAGCAAAGGGAAACAAACCAAAGAGGCCAAGCTTGAGGCCGTCACAACTGTATTGTTTCAGGGACAAGTAAAACAATAAAGTACAACAATAGCAAGTCACTGAAAGTGTTCTATAAACTACCAATCACAACTGATAGAAATCATATTTTACATTTCCGGTCTTATTTTAGTTTCCTGTAAGTCAATGGTAAATTAAATTCATCTCATGTTATTGTCCAATAAAATTTGCTGGTTTAAATGTTAAGAATTCCCTTATATCAGTATAAATGTTCAAATAAGGATAGTCAGTAAAGTCCACAAGAGGACCAGAGCCTCGGCCTGTTCATGAATCCTCAGGTGGAGGTAGTGTCAGGATTTTTTAACTTTGATACTTAGAGTTAACTCCACTAAGAGGCTCTTTTACTTTGGTCTACTGACATTATGAGGAATTATTGTTACACATAACTGAAAAAGGGGGAAGAAACTACGGTGGCTGGGAAGTGCAAACCAAAATTATAGTGTGAAACACTTTTTACAATTTGGAAAACATTTTTACATTTGAGAAAAAACAACATAAGTGAAACACGTTTACCGAGGACAAAACAAATGTACACTTTAGAAAACAAATGTAAAAGATGCAAAACACTTTTACGAACCCCAAACGATGTTCTGTCCGTTATTTAAAGGACATGGTCGAGACGGGAGGACCAAGGGCACCTTCCAGACCTTCTGTCTCGTCCATATCTTTTAAAAACTCCAGAGACCGTTTAGACGAAAAGCTAAATCATGTAAACTGTCTCAGGTGGCTTCCATAAAACGGACAAAACATAATTTGGTCACCATTAGTCTATAAAATCCATCAACAGTGTTTCCGCCAAAACAAACCGATTGACCGCTCACTCGCTCTCTTCCGGGTCACTTCCTGCATTTAGTACATTTCCTTTCTGTTGAGATTCTGTTTTTTGTCGATATGTTTCCTGTTTCCTTTCTGTATAGTATTATGTGCTATGTTAAAATCAACACATGAAATGTATTAACATTTGCTTTTTATATGTATGTGAATTTATTGTAGTACATTTCCAAGAGCATCCCAACAACAGAGTGTGTGATCAGCCATGGAGCTGAGGGTGCGGGCAACTACGCAGGGAGCCGAATGTCAACCCGCTCCCATCACTCCACCACTGCCTCACATGCTTCAAGGTAGACCCAACACACACACATGCAGAGGGATATATTCAAATATTAAAAAATTACAAGTTGTAAACTGTTTTTAGGGACTCTTTCATTTGTAGAAAATAGCTACGATGATGACTTTTGGTTATGTGGACTGTGAATTGTCTGAATTCATAGAAACCTTTTTTGTTGTTTCGAAAATAAATTCTCCTGCTTCATTTAATTGTTTTTGCTTTAGTGCTATTTAATTAAACTTACTTTCATTATTTTTTCGGGTTGCAACAGAAGTCATAGAGAGGCAGCGATCCTAAAATCTTGATAGTTGGCACAATGATATCTGTATGCACAGAATCTTAAAGGGAACTTAAGAAGATGTTACACAGGGTCATTTCAGGTAACTTAGGTCTTTATATTTCTTGCCAATCTAAAGTTAGCAAACTAAATTACAAGTGTCGCAGTCGTTGCTATAGCTACAGCTGGAGGTACTTGGCTTCATAGATGAAATATTTATGATTAAGCATTACTTCATGGACAAAATATACCTTTAAAATGTATTTCATTATGGTTTTTCTTATAGTATACATTTAGTCAAAGGGAAAACATCACTGTCAAAGACAGAGTACAGGAAGTTCAACACCTTTTGAACTCATTTTGAAGTAAAGTCTCTTCTCCCAGGATGTCTTCTTCCTCTGTGTACTCCTGCTCCTCTTTTTACTTCTCACCTGTTTTACTTACACACACAGACATGAGGAGCAGACGTGGAGCATAGAGCGAACAGAAAGTATGAACTCAGACTGCCAGTCAGGGGGGCTGTCAAGCTCAGTGGGAACCAGTAAATGCAGCAGCCCGGCATGCATGGCAAGAAGAGCTGCCCACTGGGGCTGTGCGGACATATCTGGACCAGGGATGCAGTACGGGGATTCCTACGATTCTCTAAGAGACTCGCCTCACAGTGACAGGTGGGGACAGTAGAAATGTGTGTGTGTGTGTGTGTGTGTGTGTGTGTGTGTGTGTGTGTGTGAACTTCATCATTAAGTCACTAAGGATTTCATGTGTGAAAAACTTAACATCACTGTCAAAAAAAGTGCAAGCTGATGGCACGCACTCAGGATTGCATTTGTCAGATGTGTACAACAACACACATACAACTGGTTTATCTCTGAACTGTATAACCACTCAGTGATCAGGAAAGCCACAGAGGACCCCTCTCACCCTCTCCACCACTCCTTCCAGTTACTGCCATCAGGCAGACGCTACAAAGTCCCTCTGGATCCTTCATTCCCCCTGCAATAACCACCCTGAACAAAATCAAATAGACCCTTTTGATCTGTTCTTTTTAACAGTCCCCCTTTAATTTTTTAGATGTGTTTTAAGGTGAGTTGTGTTTATTGTTTGAGCCTTGTCAAAGGAGTCACTGTTGAGACAGACAATAAAGTTTATCTAATCTAATCTAAAACTGCAGGATGAAGCCTGCGTGAGAGAGGAGTGCAGCATGTCATTGTCTTTACTAACTGTATCAAACTTCTTTTCTTCGTCATGCTTGTGTCACTAGCTAGCTTGTTTTTCATTTGTTAAAGACAGACAACCCTCATTCACAATGAGTGTGCACTAGCAGGCAGGTGTATGGCTAGGCGGGTTAGGCATCCAAATGTATTTTTTTGGTCCAGATGTATGAGCATGAGTTTAGTGATAATGCACCGCGAGTTGTTTTGGTTTCATGCTGGTGCTCAAGGGCGACATCTGCTGGATCAAAAAATCGCATAGTAAGCCTTTAAAGAGGCAGAAATCTTGGGCAAAACCAGACTCATGGTGAACAGCCATCTGCCGAAAACTGCGCCAGTTTCAAAAATGGGATAGAGAGAGATACAGGACAGATAGTGACAAACGGGGGAGGGGTAGGTCATCCCTTTATTATAATGTTAGCATCTTCTGTTACCGTTTGGTACCAAGCAGCACAGTTAGAAAGAGCTAATCATAAATATACTGAAGTCATGTGTTTCCAAAAGCTTGATGCTACTTCAAGCTTTGAGTACAGCATTCAAACAGAGTGTCATCACTTTACAAACCATAATTGTCCGTTATATTTTATGGCTAATTGTCATTGGACTTCGTTTGTGAAGCTGTGTTCAAGGTGAGATTCAAACACTGTCATGAACTGCGGATGTTTCCCTCTTCAGGTATGTGTCAGCGCTGACTACGCCAGCTCGCCTGTCTCCTGTGGAGTTCCATTACCCCCCGTTGCCGCCCCAGGTTCCCACCTTTCAGATCACCTCGCCCAACACAGGCCACGCCCTCTCCCTGCCTCCTGCCGCTGCCGCCTACAGCAGAGAGGACGACCAGCCACTTCTACGTTGCCCTGATGTACGGAAAAGTAGAACACAAAATAATATCTGTGATATAATTCATGCAGCATGGTAATGGTGTAAAAGCTGTTTTTTGGGAAACTTATGGTATATAACCAGGTATTATTTAACCTAATCCTTCACCTGTGATTGTTTCAAGTGTTTATCAAGCCCCCCGTTCTTTCTCATGTTCTCGTATTTTAGGATAGCAGTCTATACAGGCAGCCGCGGCGTCCCCGGCGACCGTACCTAGCAGAGAGCACAGGAAGTCTACCATCAAGCCCTTACCGTCTCCCTGACGACGAGGCCTACGAGACCACCCAAGAGTATGCCTCTTCACGGGAACCCATACGGAGCCGGCGCCGCCCACGACGCAACCGACTCAATGGACACATCTCCCAGCGCTCGGCAGGCCTAAGGGACTGCAGCTCACAGAGCATTAGCCAGTCGGAGGAGGAGGAAGAGGAGGAGGAAGAGGAGGAGGAGGAGGAAGAGGACGCTCATGGAGAGAGCACCCCTTTCCTAAGTATGCAGAACATGAACATGGACCCGCCCCTAACGGTCCAGAGTTACCGTTCATCATCAGGTGCAGACACACGGACTCACCGCGCGCAGAGCCGGGCGGGAACACGCACCAACGGGCAAAGCCGAGGCTACCAGTCACAGCGCTCCAAGGCTGACAACGTTCCCCTTTAAGACTTAGCCTCTCCCTCACAGTCACCCATTCTCTCCACCTCACACACTCCCCTTGCTCCTACACCAACCAGTGACTTGGGATCTGCACCTAGGAGAAATATTTTTATTTTGTATAACAGACAGATATTCTAAACAAATGAAATATTTATTTTCATTTCAGCAAAAATTGTCTACTGGCTAACAGCAAAGAGTTTTTTTTATAACGGGGGGGTATTTATATGTAAAGTTTTTTGATTTACAGCATTGTAAGAGATGAAAATACAAGAGGATTATGTGCCAATTTTTTCACAAGTTAGATAAATAGAATAATATTGTGGTGCCTTTTGCTGTATGCTGAAGTCGGAGGTCCCATTGAGTTTTGTAGCCTTTCTTATAAAGACTCCTTTTTTTATAGAGACGAACCCTCTTCCTTCCTTTTGCTTTGTGTTTTTTTTTCACTTATTTGGGATCTTCCTCTTTTTTGAACTGTGATCTGATTATGTCATCATGCAATATTAATTTCTGTGTAAATGTGTCTGTTTACATGAGTATCATCCATGCAATACCCTCCTTTTACTTGGACATCGGTCGCCCATGTGACCCGATGTGTAGGGTAGTTTTGCTGATTTTTGAATGATTCAAATTGGTTATTTATTTTCTCATTGCTGCCTCTCAGTCATCTGTCGTAATTCCTGAAAAAAAAGAGTGTTACTGTTGTCAGGGGAAAGTGACTCCAATTTCCTGTGTTGGTGTTCAGGGTGCTGCCATGACATTGGTGATGGTTACAGTACGTATGTCTGTATTGTGTGTGTGTGCGTGTGCTTTCCGTGTGTGTGCGTGTAAGTGTGCTTGTGTGTGTGTGTGAGTGTGTGTGCATGCTTGTATGCGCACACACAAACCTCATTAAGCCTCATTTGGTTTTCTCGTCTGTTTACCTTGGAGGGTATGGTCTCTTGTTTGACTGACATGCTCCTACCACCAATCCTCACGCTGCCAGAAGCTCCATTGCACTGTTAGAACCTCCCTCCATGAGCAGTCATTGGCCAGGGAGCTGCTGATCCAAACAGAACATAATACCGTTGTAATCCAGCCTGACTCTGGCCTCCTGTGGGCTGCCCAGCCCACTCGTTTCCTATGCCAGCAGCTTAGAGCCGCACTGTCTCAGGACTTCCCCATCACATCACAGCCAAAAGACTTAAAGCAGTGAGCGCACAGTTCAGTCACAGTCGTGTCCACAGTCAGATCCGCAACCCGGAACTCTCTCTTTTCCCTCATTATTTTGGGTTTCTTTTTTTTTTTTTTCCACTTGTGACCACGATTAAGAGAGCATGGGCAAAAACTCTTGGAATCAGAGAGCAGATTCTTTTCTTTTCTTTTTTTCTTCTCCACTTTAAATAATTGTATGTATGTGTTTTATTGTTGTGTTGCTGTGTATGAGTCACGATGATGATGACCCTAATAACAATGATGATGATGATGAAGTGATGAAGACCACATCTGTTCATTATATTATCTGTTATTTATCAATGTTATCCTACTGAGCGCTTTACAGGCCCTTTTTAAGTGGTGGGTCCCTGGAATCACAACCACCTCTGAGTGAACAAAAAAAAATTCTTGTGAGTCACTATGTGCAGCTTCACACTGCTACATGATACTGGTATGATAATGATTACTGCATCCTTGATTTGCATTCCTATACCTTTATTGATTGAATTTCTGTTGCCTGTTCATATCGACTGAATGATCTGTTACGTGTCTGTTTCTGTTTGCCCCCTTCCACTTCACGTTACCACCCACCTCCATGCCTTTCTCACCCCTTTAGAAGCAACAAGTAGAAGATCTTAGGCCCCATTTCCTGACGAGTATAGTGAACGGCATATTGACAGTGAGCTGATCATGTTAGAAACTCTTCCACTTCAGATATACATCAGGTTTAGAAACCTCTCGAGCTCAATGGAAAAACTGAAACTAGGTCAGATACAATGTGTATCTCTATTAGAGTTAATTTTAAAATGAGCAGAGCTTGTTGTTTTTCACACAGAAGATGCATGGGTCACTGATATAAAGTATCGTAACAATGGCAAATCAACTACATTTATTTAAAAGAAAATGTGTTTTTGGGCCAAATGGTCTGGCTAGTTTTGTCTTAATATCACTGTAATCAATCTGGGGTTTGCAATGTGGAAATCCTGCAAGTGAGGGTAGTGTGCTTTTAGTGCTAGTTGAATTAATAATACCTTGCCCTCTTTCTCCTAACCCTACATGCACACATACAGTAAACATGGAACACATAAAGCACACCAAATGACACACACACACACACACACACACACACACACACACACACACACACACACACACACACACACACACACACACACACACACACACACACAGCCCGACCATGTTTGTGTTTGTCACAGTTTGCCTTTGTCCTTTTCACCGACCAACTTTCTTAATTTCCCCTCCTTCCTCGTCCCCCTTTCTTCTCCCCTCCCTCCCTCCCTACCTCCCCCTCCTTCTCACCCCCCCCCCCCTTTGCATGTCCTAGTGGTACTGGTAGTTGGGTGCATGGATAAAGCAGCAAGCAAATTGTTTTTCCAATCAGTGAAAAAAAAAAAGTGTCTTCATTTTAACATCCAGCAATAAATCCCCTTCTCTTCATGCCCATCATTTTTGGAATATGCTAGAGGATTTTTGCAAGTTTTATCAAAGACATACTACTTGTTAAAGAAGAAAAATCCAAATCCACTTCTTCATATGAAAAATAAAACTTTATTCCTACCACTTGGTTTCAATACTGTCATCTTTGTAACACAACAAAACTGTTTGTTGTTTTTAGTGTACAATTATTATTTTAGTTTTCATACATTTTAATACAAAGAAAGTGCATTCAAATCAATTAAACATATTGCAGAGGTACAGATGGAGCTGAAAAGATGGCTCCACTAGATGGCAGAGTTCACCTTTTATTTAGTAATTTTTGACTTCTATGGGGTGCAGTGTTACCTCACTGCGAGGAGGTTGCTGGTTTCGATTCCCCATCAGACAGGAGCCTCTCTGTGTGGAGTTAGCATGTTCTCCCCGTGCATGGGTGGGTTCTCTCCAGTTAGAGGTGCTTCCTCCCACAGTTCAAAGATATGCTCGATAGGTTATCTAGTGACTCTAAAATTGCAGATGGTGGCAGGGGCAATGTGAGGGTGAGGTGTAACCCCGCCTCTCGTCCAAAGACAGCTGGGATCAGCTCCAGCCTCCACGATCAATGAAAGGCAGTATAGATATTGGATGGATGAACTTCTGTGTGTTAGTAATTCAAAGAAGTTGTAAGATTAATACATTTGAGTTGTATTAGCAACTAACTTAAACTAAACTAAATTAAATTTCACAGTAACATATAACTATATACAAAGAAAATACTTATTTTCACAAGAGATCCACAGGTGTAAACAAAAATACACCTGTGGATCTCTTATGAAAAATAATATCATCATTTAAACTGGACTTTTTAACAACATTTAATCTGGACAAACAAACCAGAAAATCAAAAGGGAAGGTTTTAAAATATTGAATCACGGCTGCATTAGATTTGTTATATAACTAGATCCATGTATGCGTTGCCTCATTTATGGTTTAATACAAATCCAAGAGAGAGGGGAGTGCAGGGCGGGTTCTCAAAAAACATCTGACCTACGTCTTTCAAATGAAAAAGTATAAAAGGACATCTCTGTATGAAGCTCAGGCTACTTTTCAAGTGTTACATTTCAACAGATTTTCACTCAGTTAATACATTGAGAGTCCAGATATGGCATTGGGAATGCTGGAATAAAAAAACTAATATCAAGACCTTGGTGCACTGACTGATTTTTATACAGAGATATACACAACAACATCAACTTCAGCTGCAGCTTAACATTAAAATAATGTGTTAATACACCGCTATTCTTATGATAAACAGCAGATATATAAACCTGTTTAATAACACCATAGACAACAAACCATTGCCCTTTAATCTTTATTGTTTAGTGCAAACTGAACTTGAAGTGTTCGACAGCAGAGTGCCGGCATCACATCTGCAATTAGAAATCATCTGCTAGCTTTTGATTCTTTCATTGAGTGAAACCAACAGTAGGCTTGATTGTTGCCGTGTGTGTTGCAAGAAGCACTGCGTGCACTGCGTTTCAAGCACCTCCTCTGCCAAGAATTTGGATGACAAGGCCGTGAATCTATGACTCATGTAAAGAAATAAACAGCTCACCTGAAAAACCAGGGCTTATTTTGTGTTTTAAAGACCAAATGTTAACCAGCTGCCAAACCTGTTCCACACTAGTTTCACTTGGCTGTTGATTTCAGGCTGACAGATGGGTGTATTGCCTGACAACATTTTTTAAAAGTTTGTTCTGTGACATAAACAACGTTATATGTCAGGTTCTGCCTTGTTCTGATGGCATAAGGAGGAGGGGATAGAAATCAGTGATCCATAGACATCTTTCTCCTGTAGATTATATAGTTCATCCAGGTCCGTTACTGATTCCACGTTCCCTCATCATTAAAGAAACAAAAAAACATGTCTTTCCAGTTTGCTGTCTGTCCTCAGTGGGTGTAGACCTACTCCTTGTGGGCAAACCTGACTCCTTTTAAAATAAACTGCTCTGGGAGACTTTGTAACATTGTTGACAAAATCTCCAGGGAATACAGCAGACTTTTCAGAGAACAGGTGAGCCAAAATGATTTTAAGTTACAGTCAAACATAACGAGTATAAAGTTAATATGGGAGGCGTAGCTTCATACTGGTGAGCTAAGACAACAGCTGACTCTTTAAATTAGCTTTTAAAAATATGCTGTCATTATTTTAGTGTTTTATAAATGTTAGAAAATTATTCTCTTAATGTCTAATGTATTTTTGACATATTTGAATGTTTGACAGCTTGTTGTTTGTAAGTAAGTAAGTTAAGTAAGACTTTATTTATATAGCACTTTGTGCATGTGCGAATCTTTGTAAATGTGCTGCTGCTTGTCTTGGCCAGGAAAAAGAGATTTATGAGCTCAAAGAGTTCAAAGAATCGGAGGACATTTTCTGTCCCACCCATGAAAATTAAAATAACTTGTGCAAAAAATCCCAAAACACAGTTATTGTGCAAATTGTGTCCTGAGGCAAAATGTAAAGATAGTTGTGGTGAAAGTGGTTTTACCCTATTTTAAAAACCAAATATCTCCCAAGCACCCCTAAAAGTGGCTGTATTCTCTTGTCCCACCCTCTCAATGGCCAGTTTTAATATCATATGTAACAGTTAAAATAAGTTTTTAATTTACTTTTTTTTGATGATTACATTAATGTATTTCTCTTGTTATTGCTGATACTGTTTGTTTAACCATGAACATACTTTTAATAATAGTAATTACGCCTCAAAGTTGTGTCCCACAACATGTGTGCAACCCTGTTACCAAAACAATTTAAGCAATGCAGAAGAAGACTAAGAACAGGAAACAATAAGATTCAGCAGAAATGACATCTTTAAGCTATATGCAAACACCATGGCTAGACCAAAAAGTGCTCTCTTCTATTTTTAACATTTTGTTGACATTCTCAGCCTAAATTGAGTGTGTCACTGAAACCAACTCAACCCTGTTACTGATTTTATCAGAATAAGATCATTTCATTTCATTTTTTTCTTTATATATCTTAGATTGTCCTTTGCCAGCTAGCATAACTGCTAGTACAGCTAGCATCTACCAGTAAGAAAAAGTTTGAGCATTAGCACAGATTTGCAACCCTGTCACTTAAATAAGAGTAACAGGCTTTTTACAGAGTTCTTTTACACCTATTGTTAAACCTATAAAATAAAATCAACAACGTTCCTGTTATCCTGTGTTTATATATTACATTTATGTCATGACTTAGGCCTGTAGTCTAAAGTAATGTTTATCAAAATAATCTTAAATGATTTTCTTAAATCAGTATTCAATGTAAATGTGTCTCTCTTTACTTAATGTGAAGGGTTTTTTAAGCAATATTTTAAAATACATGTTTTACAGGTTCCTGAGTATCAGTAACAGGGTTGCACCAATGCAGCGCACAGCAAAGAAAACATCTAATAAAAAATGAGTCTTTGATGCCTAAGCTGGACGAATCACATTATTTGATGGTTTATTGCTTGGTTTTTTTTAAATGTTTAACAAAAATTTGCAAAACAAATGGTAATTTTTCAAAAGTTTTGATAGCTAAATTGTCCTCCAACTCTGGAATGACCCTTTTCATCTTTTTAAATATGTCTGAGTCTGAAAGTTTTTCATTAGTCGACACAACAGTTTCACCACCAGGCCTATGTAGTATTCGACTCTGAGCTTATTTCATGCATCCTTTTTATCCACTGATGCAAAGTTTGCTCACAAATTCTAGTCAAACTTGGCAAAAAAGAAATGTTAAAAAGGAACATTTGATACAATTTAAAAGTCCATATCAAAACACCAGGTCTTGTCTTTCAGTGTTTAGTGTGTTTTTCCTCAATAGCATCTTTTTACACAGAGAAACGATTTTTATCATTTAACATATTTGTTCATTCATTCACAGCTTGATGGCGCGGCGCTACTATTGCCTGCGTAAAGTGATCGTCTGTGTGTGCACCCCATGCATCTTGCTGGTCCTGCTATTCTTCTACATAACTATCGTGGTCTGCTTGTCCATGAATAACAATGCAACCCCGGGGATCGTGGGTAAAAGTAGCAGTCACTTCATAGCCTCAGGAACTTATAGAAACAAGAGCTTTTCCCCATTCCCTAAAACTTTCTGGGAGCTCCACTGGCAAGGTGATGCCTACTGGAACCGGCTCCAGCTGGCGATAGACCGCAATTTCAACCCCATCTTGCGCCCCAACAACAATGTGAAGAGGCGATTTCAAAACAGTAAGTTTCACGAGTCCCTGCTGTGGAAAAGTTTCTCTGAAGTTAGCGATTTGGACAGCAAAAGTGGAGAGTTTCAAAAGCTGCCGCAGCAGATGCAGGACTTTGTGAGCCACATGCAAAGGAGGGACTATCCAATCCTCAACCAGCCAGACGGAGTGTGTGGAGCCGGGGCAAAGGGCGAGAAGGAGCCACCTCTGCTTCTACTGGCCATCAAGTCAACTGAGTTCAATTTTAAAAGCCGGCAGGCCATTAGACAAACCTGGGGCCAAGTTGGATGGATAGCAGGAGGGAAGAGGAACAATAGTGAGGGAAAAGAAAGTGGAGGGTACGTTCGTAGGGTGTTTCTGATAGGCAAAGAAGACCCTCAAGAGCTGGGTGTGGATACAACAGAGCTACTAAAGCTGGAGAGTAAACATTATGGAGACATTCTGCAGTGGGACTTCAAGGACACGTTTTTTAACCTCACCCTGAAGGATGTGCTCTTCTGGAGCTGGTTCACACAATTCTGTAACCAGATCCAATTTGTCTTTAAGGGGGACGACGACGTCTTTGTCAACTCCCTGAATATGATAGCCTTCCTCCAGGACCAGCTCGATATGCCACAAGCACACAAGACCTTACAAGACTTCATGGTTGGAGATGTCATAGGGGCAGCCTTACCCAGCAGAGTCAACAAGTCCAAGTACTTTATTCCTGACAGCTTCTACAAGGGCCTGTATCCTATGTATGCAGGCGGTGGAGGAGTGCTTTACTCAGGACTGCTGGTCAAACGCCTGCACAGCATCTCTAAAAGGGTTCACATGTTCCCCATTGACGATGTTTATGTCGGGATGTGTATGTATCGGCTTAACGCTCACCCTGTTCACCACCCAGCCTTCCTCACGTTTGACTTCCCTGCAAAGGAAGAGGAGGCGGTGTGTTCTTACCACAGAATCCTACTGGTTCACAAACGAAGCCCCGTCCAGGTAGTCAGACTTTGGGCTGATGTGAAACAGACACAGAGACAGTGTTGGGACGTGCCCCTCAGAGATGGAAACAAGAAAAAAAAAAAAACACTGAGTGCAACTTCACAGTGATCTCTTTCGCAAGCCATGTGTTCTGAAGGAATGAAGCCATAACTGGTCCAAAGCAAACACTTTTGCAGGCAGCTGTAGTATTATGAATTGGCATCCATATTGAGACAACGTGTGCTCCCTGGAGGCCGGGTGTTAAAAATGCTTTACCAATATTTATTCATGATTCTGAAACTTTTTTGTTGCACATTTCAGTCACTTTTTTTTTTACAGATTAGACATTCTTCCATTAGGCATCTTTTTTATACTGTACATAATTATAATGACTTATTTTATTTCAAAATAAAAACATTCATGACCATAGTGTCTCCTGTTATATGTTGTCAGCTTCAGCACTGCTTTTTTGTTTATTTCAAATTGAGCGTAGCGTTAGTTCAGGCGGGCCGCCGAGTCACACTCTGCTATCATGTCAGAGTTTTTGGTAACAGCTGATCTCACACAAGCCTCATCAGCTGACGGCCAGCTGAAACTATCTGCTGCTCCCTTTGCACCTCTCCTCCTCCTCCCCCCAGCTCCTCCCTTTATGCTGTTCTGACAATGTCACGGTATTGTCATTGCGGTCTGCTCTGTTTGGGTTTTGCTGCGTCTCTCCCTTGGTCAAGCTTTCTTTGTATGCACGGGAAGCGCGGGAACCTGTTCTGCTCCTGCCTAAAGCTTTCCACCTAATAAGTGAAGGGGCAGGGAGATCCCAGAACAGAGCCATACCGCCAAATGTAAATAATTGCAACAAAGTATTTTTTCTTGACAAAGTGGTCCTGACTGAACTTCAATCATGAACAAGTGGTTTTTTTTTATTTTTTGAACAAAAGCAAACAAAGAAAAAGTGCAGCTTGAAATTGAACACGTGATAGTTCTCCAACGAGTTATAAACCTGCAACAGCCTTCATGTATGAACTCTATGATGCTCCTGTGTTTACACAGACAGTTTGTCAGTGTTTTGGGCTTTAAGTGGTTATACTGGTTGTGGTGTTGAAACTGAGGTCTACATTTGCATAGAAAAGCTGCTGCTGTTTCAAATCAGCATCCATGCATATTCTAGGGTGATACAGTCAGTCTTGACTTAACTGTAGTTTGACTTGCTAAAAAAGGTCAAGCTAATGTCATAAATGTCAAATACAAACTCTTGCATGAACACAAACATCTGTTGATCAAATCCAATACGAGCATCTCGAGTAGAGAACTTATTAAACACAGAGTAAGATGTAAGAGAGGAGTCTCAAGATATGTGAATTAAATCTAAGCTGCTATGAATTATTAGCTCTCAGAAGATTTCCTTTTTCCTGAGGCAGCAAATGTAACACTGAAGATGAGCTGTTGAAGCCACCTTGGGGGTAAACTGTGAGTTCAGATCCACGTTCCAATAGAACTGGTTGCGCTGGCAGTAGCTCTGTACTGCTCTTGGCTTTATGCTAAACATAGTGAGCTCAAAATGTTTCTAAAGCCATGCTCGTCATACTGTTGCATATTTCCAAGAGGAGAACGCACGGTGAAAGAGAAAGACGTTCTTTGAATGACAGAAACATTTTATGCTTGATGTGGAGGACATGGGCAGCAGGACTTCAAGGACAAGTGATGATGAAAACAGCTGAAGAAAGAATCTTTATGAAAAATGTCCAATATTAAATAAACCATTATATTGTTAAGGAATGTCAACGCTGTCGTAATGACGCCATGTTCAGTACTTCAATAATCTCACTCAGGCCCCAAACAAGGGAGCTAATCCAGCTTCTCGCAACAAAACCTTCAAAAGAACCGGTAAAACTAGACTGTGGTCAAAATTCTCGCCACGCCCGGACTCCTCTAGAATCAAGCATAACAGAAATGTCTTTCATCAACTATGACGTAGGAGAATTTGTATTCAAGTTCAGAGTTATCAGAGCTCACTAAAGAGTTTATTTTGTCCCGTGGAGACGGATGAATGGATAAACATTAACCTTTCAACTTTGCCTACAAATGCTGTTCACCCTGTAATGTGATTGTAATGTAGTAGTGGCTGCACTGGAGGTCAGTATACAAACATGCTTGAGTTTTTAGTTAATCTGCATTAAGTATCTAATACTATATAACATTTGAATCTTAAACAATTTACATGGAAATACTCTGGATCTCTTACTCAATTTGAGTTAAACTCCAACATCTCTTTTTTTTTGTAAACACAAAACTAGACTTCAGCTGTTCTTGATCCCAAAGCACACCATACACAACATGAACTGCAGGGGGAGCTGTTGCATCAGGACCATCAGTGAGATAGTCATCAGTTCAGTCAAGTGACAACAGCAGGGCAGCTGAGCACAACTACCAAACCTTGAACTCTCCATCGTCCATGACGTCAGCGCTGCCACTATGAACCATTTTCTGTCATGTCCTCTTTGTCATCATCATCTTCTTCCTGACTCTCCTCATCTTCCTCCTCACTTTCGATGTACTGGTAATTACATCGGTTGGTGTTCACAAACAGGTCACTGTCATCATCCTCTTCAGAGTTGCTATCTTCTTCTTCCTGTCCTTTTTCATCGTCTTTTTCCTGCTGTTTGTTCGTCACATCCCGCTCCGACAGCTCCTCCTTAAACCCCTCTGGCCTGCAGAGAGTCAAAGGTCAAACATGATACACTCAGGTACTGGTATAACTGGGGGATGGGGGGCTAATTGTGTGATGTGTTTTCTACATGTATTAGTGCGCATGTTCCTACTTACCAGAGCTGCTGTTGTTGCAGGTACTGAATGTGATCTTTGTATAGAATGAAGCTGATCTCTGCTTTCACTTTCTCTCCTTCCTCAATAGGATCCACAATCACATAATCCCCTTGGTGATCACAAAGAAGACAATATAAATAATTACATTCAATATAACTGCTAGGATATATAGATTTTTCACAAACAAATAAATAACTTATCACTTCAGTGAGTTATATCGGCCCTTCCATTGATACCATCGTATTATCTTTTCCTTTTTAAAAGTGCCACACATCCAACCCACAGAACAGCTGCAGGCCACTTCAACACTGACTGAAAAAAATTGTCTTGGGCCAAGTGTCCACCTAGTGTTTTTTTTTTCTAAGTGCTGGCATCTTTTATTCGATTTGTTTTAATGAGCAGAGAGCGTTCACAGCAGCAGGCCGCCGCCCGGAGAAAAAGCGCAGAGCCAAGCATCTTCCACTTTTTTTTGTGCGGCAGTAAGTTGAAATTTTTCGGAATCAACTTTTCAGAAAAGCGCTGTCGACGTCACAGGCACTCTTTTCCAAACGTCTGATGTTCCCTGTAGTTTTGCCGCCTACGGATCGTGACACATCCTCTTTGCTCCGGGTCGGATGGTGAAATAAACGACCTCAAATAAAAAACATGCAGTAAAAAGGAACGGAGCAGTGTTGGTCATACAATGGCCGTCGTCAACAGACTGTTGACATAGAGACAGGACCGATGTGCACATGCAGCACTTTTCTTCTCAGCACACAAACGCTTGATGCAAACCGTCCCGAGTGCTCAGCCAGCGCTTTTCTGCTCCGAAAAAACCCTAGTTGAACATATCAACTTGTATAGCCACTGTGGTTGCACAGAGGCCTGTAGGAACACAACAGTTTGAAAAAAATATATAGCAGAAGAAGATTTTAGTCCAACAATTAAAGATCACAGACTTATGACATTTTTCTCTCTTTCATCAGGGTGCTGCTCCTGTGTTTCCTTGGGATAAAAACGTCAGTGTCTCGTAAAGCTACATCTCTAGAGGGGTAATAGATGATGAACATTTATAATTTAACCTGAGTGATTCAGCAAAGAGAGAAACAAGCGAATCTCGTTTTCCATCACTAAGAAAAATATTCAATAAAGTATTCACAGATGGATTTTGTTAAACGCTGCAGCTTGTTTCTTAGTTTATGTTTTTGGCTATATTTCAAAAGGTTCTTTGTCAATTTTTGAGCACAAACACTACTGAGGGGCTTTTTTCATGAATGGGTGTTATGTGTGTTTGTTCACATGCACCAGGACGCATGTGCACTTGAACAGTCCTGCTATTGCTTTCACAGTCTGTCAGTGTGTTCACCGCCGACAACACTAAAGAAGACAACTGCCTTCTTATAAAACAAAGGCTTAAACATCGCAGCTTCTTATCAGCTCTGAGAAGGAGTTGGACTTGAGCTTCAATGGTATATTAAGCCTTAAAGGACTGTTTCCATGACTACTTGAAGCATCGATTTATGATAATCTGGGAAAAAAAGTATTTGTTGATCCCTAAAGGGGAAATTCAGATAAATAGTTAATTCAAATAATTCATAAAATCAATTCTAAAGAACTAAGTAATCATGTTGTGATTCATAACTCAGCAGTCTGGGACATTCAGATCATAAAACAGATGATAATCTGTCAGTATAAATCTAATCATCCCGCTCTCAGTACCTCTCTTGATCCACAGGTTTTTGCGGAACTTGGTGGGCATGCTGACCAGGAAGCTCTCACCCTGCGCCGTGACGCTTTCATGGAGGTTGTTTCCACGGCTACTGATGATCTACAAACACAGAGTTCTGTTAGGTGGATGTTTGCTGTCAATAAATACATAAATATGTCATAATATAATAAATCCAATGCTCACCTTCACAATTGTCTGTGTTTCTGTGGGAGTGACGAAGTCTCCAAGAACTTCCTTGACGACGTGTTTACGTTTTGTGGCCTGTGACATGTTTATACGTGAGCTTCTTCAGGTCTTTTGTCCAGCTGCATGAAGAGGGCAGAGTGAGGTCATCGTGGTGATAAACACATTGAAGAGACAACAAAAACAAAAAGGAGATCCGATCATGAGTAACACACTGGCTAAATAAACTAGCCTAGCATTTTTAAAAACAAACGCTGATTATCTCAGTGATGGAAACACTTCATATCTCCTCTGTTCGCAATAAGAGCTATGCAGGAACACATATATCTTAAAATGTCTAGTAGTTTAACACAATTATCCAAGCTAAGCTCACTTTCGTTATTTCAGACACTTAACCCCATAAGGATGTTTGTTTCATGAAAACCTTGTAATGTGGTTATTGCGTTTCTCCGATGCTGAAGGTGTTCTGGTAGCTTTACAGCAGAGGTAAATCACTTCAGAAACAAGACAATTCAGATTATCTTTCCAGTGCCTTTTCCCACGCGTCCCTATTTTTCTGACAGGGCAAAACGAAACACTTCCGGTACTCTCTCTTCTTCTATGGTTTACATGTGCATATCGCCACCTTGCTGTGCCGGTGTGTAACTTCAGGGCTTCGTGTACTTGAGGTTACATTCTCAAAATTGCTGATTAATAATAATACCCCCCCCACACACACACACACACACCCTAAAAAATAATAGTAATTAAAAATATCTATCTTACAATCCAAACCTGAATCTTTCATAAAAATAAAGAGTCTTCAAGTAGTCTTCTTGCCTCATTTTGTCAGTCCTTCCTAAAATCCATTCCAAACCAAACCTAAGCTCCGTCTTCTTCTTTTTTTGGCGGCTCGCAAACAGCTTAAAGGTGCAGACCGTCACCTACTGTACAAGAGTGTGTATCATCATGTCTTTCACCTTCCCTAGACTGTAAATTCTGCCTGCCAACCTTGTGTAATATGAGAATGACAAAAGAGCCCATCTACTATCCCCTCTCCTTCTCCCTCTGTGCCCAGTATTCCTCCCATATTCCACTTCCAAACTTGAACATAAAATTGTCCTGTATTTATCGGGTACACATGATTCTCGGACCACACGCTTATGGTTTCCCTGAAGATTTTCTTAAAAGCCAAAAAGATGGGTGCAGTGTTTGTATAATTTACTCAGATGCAAGTGAATGGGGGTTTTGTAAAGAAAATATAAATTAAAAATACTTTGTGTATAAATTGTGTGTTGGCCCATGTAGACACAGTGAAGAAACCTCGAGACAATCAGTTGAAAAAGACAAACTTATTTTAAGTGAAACTCTGTGTTAACTTGTCCAATTAAACCAGAACCCAGGGGTGATGTCTGAAGAATTGTTAAAGGGCACATATTATACAAAATAAAATGATCACCATGTTTTTTGAACATTAATATGCAACCCTAGTCTGTCTACAAATCCCCCAATTATGGGAAAAATCCATCTTTTCCTTATTTTGCCTAAAACAGGCCGCTAACAGTTTTCTCTTCATGACATCACAAAGGGCAGTAGCCCCTCCCCCAAGTGGGTGACACTCCAACAGCTAGGTGTTTGTTCTGCCCTCTGAGTCTGACTTCTCACCAGAAAAAAATGGGCATGGAGAAAAAAAGTTAGAGCCACCCAAGTCCTTCCAGAGAGGGGGCGTGGTCAAACACAGCTCATTTACATATTTAAAGGTACAGACACAGAAACAGCCTGTTCTGAGCAGGGCTGAAATAGAGGGGTTTATAGACATGATCAAATAAAGGATCAGAGTGGATTTAGAACAATAAACTTCACACACGTTTTTGGGAGCTCTGACTTATTTGAACTTGATTAAAAGGAGGATTATATGTGACCTTCAAATAATCATCAGCAGAATGGAAAAGATACCAGACACCAAAATTGCAGTAAATATGTACGGGGAGGGGGGGGGGGCGTGTTTCCCATTAAATGCCATATCATTTGTGACATAACCACTTTTAAACATATTAAACTGTTGTTTATTTTATGAGAATAAAGTTTTTGATGGTTGTATGTGTGCAAAAGATCACCTGAACAAATAACATGATTCCTGAAGTCCTTTATTTACCGTAATCTGAATTCATTTCTCACAGTCTCACAGCAGTCTTTAGAATCACAGTGCATTTATGTAGTCATGTGCTAAACAATGAAAATTAAAACCCCCAAACATCAAAAGTCCTCTTTAATACTAGATAGCATGTACACAAAAACAGTTACCAACTACGGTTAGTGCACAATATTCATTTGTATGAGGAAACTGTAACTTTTGGGGTAAGATGAGGTCATGCAATGAGTTAAAACACAGCAACCATTTACACCTGCTGGGCTAACGGAAAGAGATGCAGGAGTAAAATCTAATCTAAAAACATGTCTGCAAACTCAGCAGTTAAACACTGGTGGTGTGAAATCTGAACATGAGGACTAGCCTGGTGTATGTGTGTTTGGTTGTGATCTCCTTGCTGTCTGGATCAAATGTGTGTTAGAGAGTAGTGTAAATGTGGAGTCAGCTTTAGTATGATGGCGTGGGTCCTTGTGTGTGTATGTAATGTATGTCTCTGTCAATATAAGGTGCGAGTTGTTTAGTCGACAACAGCAGATGAGCACATCGTGTTGATCCCACACGCATTGGAACCCCTGTACAGATAGTAGTAACCCTGTATGAGAAAGAAAAGGACATAAAACAGTTAGATCTTTACCTATTACTGTCTTTAAAGGTTTGAATTTAATGTAGTTTATAAAACAGTGGATAGTTTTGTTAAAAATACCAAACAGAGCAGCAGCACACTGAGGAAGTGTAAGACATTAAACTGTTATAACAAAATATTAATGTGGGATCTCTTGTTAAATTACCCCATCTCAACCTCTTCATAAATGTTTCTCTAATCCACAAAGATGATTATTAGATACAGTGGTCTTACCTGTTCTCCATAATCCTCTCCCCAGCTGTTTTTGATGGCCCAAAATGGAGTACCTTTACCTGAGAGCACAGAAACATTCATACAGTTCACTCGGCAGCCTTGTATTGTTGTTTGCAAAACATTGTACTTTTGAGTTGATATGCTTGTTTTTAAGAGTTTGACGGCTAACTGGACAAACAAATATGTCCGTTACAGGAGTAGGAATCAGATCAGCAAAGATGAATGAATACACTTACGCTCTCCGTATCCCACGAGCAACACAGCGTGGTCGATCATCCAGGGGTTGCAGAAAATCTTCAGAGGGTGAGACACACCTTTCCTGTAGAACTATACAAATTGGAAAGATGATTAAAAACAATTAAATAAGGTTAGTTTGCTGTGGTGGATTAATATAGTAACGACAAATCTGGATACCTGCATGGCAAAGGCGTTCAAAGCCACAGAGATCGGCCCATTCTCAGCCAGCCAGGCTGCGATTTCTGAGGAGAAAAAAAACCTAAATAAGTCCTTTAAAGGCCAAATATGTAGAATTTTATGAGAATGTTTACATCAAAATATCTATATTAATTAAAAATGGACTAAACCTACTCTAAACCTACTAAACCTATGCCGTACTCGCCCAACTGTTCAATTCGGACACTGAAGAAGAAGAATTCGAGGGATTCGTGGACGGGGAATGAACTGAAAAAGTGAGCTTTACGTGTTATACGTAACTGAACAATGTTGAGTTATGCACTAACGTTTGAATTAGCGGTATCAGACTGTGTTTCTTTTACGTGTTTACAACTGAACAAGGCTGGGAGATATTGTGAATATGCACATTAACGTTTGAACATCGTTACCATGGGAGTGAACGGAGTTGTCAGAACGCTTAATAAAGTTTGACTTTCTGACTGTTTTGTTGACATTCCCTTTAGCACAGCTCCATCTAGTGGATGCATAACGCAACCCCAGTCAAACGTTTGACTGCAGTATCTTCTATTCTATGCGCCTTATAATCCGGTGCGCCCTATTTATGAAAACAGTTCTAAAATAGGCCATTCATTGAAGGTGCGCCTTATAATCTGGTGCGCCTTATAGTGCGGAAAATACGGTATGTTATAGGTTTTCTCGTTGAGTACTTTCATTACCTCAAATGTTTCCAACAGTTATCAAAGCCAGAGAAATCCATAATTTTATAGTTTTTACAGGACTTGTGTTGTCACGGCAACCGCCAAGATGAGCCACCACAACAGACACAAAATGCTTATCGTTGCCAAGGAAACAGCGGATGTTATGTCACCGCTGCATAAGGAAGCTGCTACTGCTACGACAGGTCTCATTTTTACCAAATGTTAAACAACAATTAGCCATTTGTTGCTCTTTTTGCACATTTGCACACCTCCAATTCGCACTTTAATAACTTCAATTTCCATTCTGGTATGAGCTCTTGACTGATTTTATTGCGTTGGTTTTATATTTTGCTGTGTTGTCTGATATTTTAAAATTGGTTTTGGTTTATGTTCTATGTTGATGTTGTCCTTGTGTTTCTTGTCTTCTGTGTGCTCCTGTTGCAACGCAAATTTCCCCTTGTGGGACAATAAAGAATCTGAATCTGAATACAACACTTACCCTCCTCATCTTTGGACAGCTCCACAGAGCTGTTTATGTAAGCTGCCACCTTCCTGTCGGTGAAGTCACATTTTTGTTTGCGTCCAGTGTAGGAGTAGTCTGACTCAGTCTCCAGACCACCTTAACAAGAGATGAAAAGTGAAAACAGAAGTGTTGATGTATGCATTTCTACACAGCAGAAATGATATGTATGCAAGAATACTTCTGAAAACAAAACATTTTTAAATGTTGACAAACATAACTTCTACCCATGTCTTTCTTACCCAGCTTTTCAATCGCTTCATAAGCATTTGACGGCAGCCCCCCTTTGCATGCCTGGTCCAGTCCATCACAATCAACCAGCTCTGAGAGGAACAAATCAATTGACCAATTAAATAATGGCTTTTATCTGTGCATGTAAACAGGATTTGTTTGCAGGAGAATGAATGATTTACTGTATCATGGTGTTTTCTTGGAACTACGTCCACGTGTATATCAGTGTGTGAGTGTTTTACCTTGTTCTGAGAGAGGGATTAAGGAGCCATTCTTTAGGAACCACTGGCCTTCGATGTTACCCGTAACAGAAAATGCCCAGCAGGATCCACACATACCCTTCAAGAGAACAAAAAAACACATCCCTGAATCGGCATGAACAGTAACTGATGAGTGCATGATGCAGGATATGTTCATATAGGGTTGTAAGTCAGAAAAAAGAAAGTAAGTAATTAAGTACAAACATAACTAGGTGTATATATAGCACGACCCTGGCAGCACTGAGCACTTCTAGCACTGTCAATTTCAGACTGGCCTGACTGGTTGTTCCGACACACAGAGAGCTCCATAGATAAAAAGTCTATTAATGAGTTAATCCATTGGTGTGTGGAAAGAGTATGTGGTGGTTGCCACGGTGCCACCTCACATCATTTGTGGGGAGGAGTTCATCTTCAAATCAAATGTATCAGATAGACGTTCTGTAATGAATATCTAGAAACTTCTTTGGCCCAGTCTAGGGTTATT